ATCATGTTTTAAAAGACTTTGAAGGTCGGGGTGTATTTTGTGTTCGTTATTTCAATACTGGTTATGGTTAGTGGTTATACCGCTACGCCAAAGGAAATTATCCCATATCTATTAAGCGGGTATAATTTTTCAGAATCGGTGAACTAAACTTTTCTTCATAATTCTCTCAGTTTTAATTTATATGCCAAAAATAATTCTATTAAATATACAATAACATCTAAAATCGTTTATTTTGAAAACAGTGCAACACAACAAAATATCAATAAACTACATCATTTTCAATATCCAGTCTAGGATATTGAAAATGATGTAGTGTGTCCAGGTCCTTCAAAAGTGTCAATGCCAAGGCAAAGTCAGAGTTGGCAGAATTGGCGAGAAACTAGTTCGCCTCCCTTCGGGAACACGTGCATTCTGGTCTCTTGCCATGGCTGTCCAAGGGAACTTCTGTCAGCTTTCTTTGAGGAGGAAAAAGCCGATCTGCCAGGCTCTCTTTTTGCTTCTAACTCGACTCTAGATGACGGGGGAACACACCGCCGACCATCCCGCGGTGTGAGTGCTCCATGCGGGAAGTGTTGTTTACACAGCGCTCGGTGCGTAAAACACTCCTCTCCCTGGACGTCAACAAGTCGAGTGGGCCTGATGGAGTCCTACACCTATTGTGCTGAAGACGTGTGCTCCGGAGTTGACACCGATTTTAACGCGTATTTTTCGGTACTCCTACTCCCTAGGCGTAGTCCCGAACTCATGGAAGACAGCTTTGGTGCACCCGATCCCTAAAAAAGGCGACCGCTCAGATCCGTCCAACTACAGGCCTATCGCTATCACCTTCTTGTTCTCTGAAGTAATGAAAACCATTATTAACAGCCAGCTCATGCGGTACCTTGAGGATCACCAGCTGATTAGTGACCGCCAGTACGGTTTCCGTAGAGGTCGCTCAGCTGGTGATGTTCTAGGTTACCTAACTCATAGATGGGCGGAGGTAGTGGAATCCAACAGGGAGGCGTTGGCCGTTACTTTGGACATAGCGAAGGCTTTCGATCGGGTTTGGCACAAAGCGCTTCTTTCGAAGCTGCCTTCATATGGGCTTCCCGAGAAATTGTGCAATTGGATCACCAGTTTTCTTGCAGATTGAAGCATCAAGGTCGTAGTAGACGGTGCATGCTCCGATTACAAGCTCATTAGCGCTGGTGTTCCACAAGGCTGCGTGCTATCACCAGCGCTGTTTCTTCTGCATATCAATGATATGTTGCAAACCTACATACTAGTAACATTCATTGCTATGCAGACAACAGTACTGGTGACGCTTTATACACAGGCCGTGCCAATATTTCTCGGGAAAACCGAACCGGAACCGAACCGAAACCGAGTACCGGAACAAACTTGTGTCTGAATTCGAGACTTTGTTACACAAAGTCTCAGACTGGGGCGACTAATCTAGTCCAGTTCAATTCCCAGAAGACAGAAGTTTGCGCGTTTACCGCTAAAAAGAACCCCTTTGTCGTATCTCCTCAGTTTCAAGGCACTCCTTGTAAATTCCTTATAACAGTGGTAGAGCCACGCGGCAGCTTTTGCTGTCGCACGGATGGGCCGGCTCGAACCGGGGTGGTACCACGACCTCACAGAAAACTAGCGTGAAGTAGAGGTTTACCTCTGCGTTTCGCTTGGTGAGTGCAGGTGGCCGGAGGGCCTTTTTACTGGAAATGAGGCATTCCATCTTAGTCCTCACGGATGACGACGCATCTACATTTTGATTTGTAATAAAGGATAGATGTAGATGTCTATGGGCCGCAGCAACCACTTACCATCAGGTGGACTGTGTGCTCGTTTGTCACCCTTATCGTATAAAAAAAAAGAAAAAACTCCCCTTGTTGCCTCAGCCAGTATCGGTATCCTCGGTGTCGACATATCGAGTGACGTGCAGTTTCGTGGTCACTTAGAAGAGAAGCCCAAATTGGCCTCTAAAATGCTTGGCGTGCTAGCAGAGCGGGACAGTATTTCATGCGGTCAGTTCCTTCAATAGAGAAAAAAGTTTACGTGGTGGCTCCTTAATATTAGCAGATAAATAAATCATTAATAATATAAAGAACGTTTTTTAACAGTGGTAGAGCCACGCGGCAGCTTTTGCTGTCGCACGGATGGGCCGGCTCGAACCGGGATAGTACCACGACCTCACAGAAAACCAGCGTGAAGTAGAGGTTTACCTCTGCGTTTCGCTTGGTGAGTGCAGGTGGCCGGAGGCCTTTTTACTGGAAATGAGGCATTCCATCTTAGTACTCACGGGTGACAACGCATCTACATTTTGATTTGTAACAGAGGATAGATGTAGATGTCTATGGGCCGCAGTAACCACTTACCATCAGGTGGACTGTGTGCTCGTTTGTCACCCTTATCCTATAAAAAAAAAACATAAAGATATTGCGAGCCTCTCTGTTTAACGAACTGTAGAAATGGCTTGTGTCGAGCTCGAGCACCTCATTGTTGTAAGTGTTTACAGACCCCATGTGCTACTTATGACAATTTTGTAAAGATTGTGGAAGAAGTTTTACTCAAACCTAGTAAACAGAATAAGTCTGTTGTAATATGTGGAGACTTTAACATCAATCTTCTTGAAACTTCTTACATTAGTATTAAGTTTAGCTAATTATTTAAATCGTATACTCTTGTTAATTTATTCTTAGAACCAACACGTATTGCTGGGCGACCTAGTGCGACCTGTATAGATAATATTGTTAAGCACTTGCGTAAATCAATTATTCAAAATTTTAATTCGGATCATTGTGGATAGTTGGTATCATTGCCTTACATGCACAAAAAACAGAAAAATGAGAAAGTTGTGTTTGTTCCAATATGATGAACATCGATTAGAGAGGTTTAGAAGTTTTTTGATAATAAAAATACTTCCATCACTTTCATTTAAAAATAGTACTGATTATTTGTATGGTGCGTTATTTAAAATTAGTTATGAATTTAGTAGTATACTTACTTCTAAAATTTTATCTTTTAACAGTCGCAAATCATTTAATGAATGGGCGAAAGTAGGAATTTATAAAAGTAGGCGAAGGTTATACGAACTTAATAATGAAAGATCATATAATAGTAGCATTATATTTAGAGATTATGTGAAAACATATTCTAAAAATATTTAAAAAGTGTGCTCCACAGCAAAGGCTTTTCATTTAAGCAACAAAATTAAAACTACATCCAACAAAATTAATTTACCTGTAGAATAATAAACAGTGAAACGGGCAAGGTAATAGAAGCGTCGAATCTGGTGTATTTCCTGATTTAATGAACCATAGTAAAGTCATAACTTTATTTAAATCTGGTAGTACATTAGACCCCACCAATTTTAGAGCAATTTATGTACTACCAGAATTTTGTAAAATTTTTGAAAAAATAATTTTAGATCAGATGTTAAGTTTCTTTAATATTAATAAATTGCTACATAAAAATCAATTCGGTTTTACAAGGGGTCGCTCGACAACTGACGCTTGAGTTGAGCTTATTAAACATATTTTTTATGCATGGGAGAATTCAGAGGATGCTTTGGGCATATTTTGTGACCTTCCCAAGGCCTTCGACTGTGTTCACCATGAGACATTAATTAGGAAGCTACAGTACTATGGTGTCAAGAACGCAGCGCTTAAACTTATTATTTCATATTTAAGTAATAGAATGCAGAAAGTTACTATCAACGGTAAAACTTCTCTTAAAACACAAATACTTGTTCCGAGCGGGATTAGACCACATGAGAAAATATTACTCCTGTGATTAGACTCCACGACTTGTAGTGGTACAGTCCAACGCTTGTCCACTACGCTACGGAGTCATCGAAAGAATGTGTGCCGATGTCCTTACTTTGTCTATAGAACTGCAAACGTTAGCATTGTAACCTTTATTAGTAAAAGATACGATTATTTTCTTAGGAACGTACCTACGGATACAATGCTTGCTTTAAGTAGGTCCCTACCCCGTAGCCGCAGCTTCCGAAATCAATACTTATGTTCCTTTTTATTTATAAAGTGGAATGCCTTGGTCGTTCGCTGTTTCAAGTAATCATTTACCAGCATTAAATAGTTAAGTACAGTTATTATACAATGGTTAAACCAAATTAGGGGCTACAACTATTAAAGTGCTAGGAACTTTTTTTTATTTTTATTGCTCTTTTTTAAGCATAATCATTTGTGATCAGTGTTTATAAATGTTCGTATATTAGGTAATCGGGTAAAACCGTGCTAACACTAGAAAAAACACCTATGAAAATTTCCAGAATTTGATTTCGTAAAATATATTTGACTACTCTATATCTAGGTTAAAATTAAATAATAATAGTACATACTTAAAGTGATCTTTAATTCGAAATACAATAGACGATGGGTTATATTTTGGCGGCAACAACGCTTGCGACATTCCTTAGAAAGCGGGAAGCGCGGGAATCAATAAAGGATTTCCTGGCGGCGTGCCCACGCATGTGCGTGGCACAGCTGCCGATCAGCGCTTTTTCAGACAGCCACTGTTGCTATAGGCTGGGACTGGGCACCTAGATCAGCTTACATGTTCAGATAGATGCTTATAAGGATAGATTGAGCACATCGTTGCTTGAAATGCGCATATGTCATAATCTACCCATCGAATGTTGCACAGGGACCTCGTGGATCATCAATCTGATGCATTACCAAATAAATCTCAATAATAAGTATCGCAGCGCTGCGTTATTGGGCGTATAATTCGCGCGCAGCGCCACTGCGGCTGGTCGAGGGCGGCGGGCGGGCAAGGCGCGAGGGGCGGAGGTCGCGGCGGCGCGCCTGAAGCTTCCCGCGACACTCTGTCCTCGCCCTGCGTCCCACCCGCGACACAACCTATAACCTCGCAGAAGCCGATGACTCACGCACAGTAGTAAAACCTTCTGACAATCTCGGGCAGTGTAGTGTTGAAGGGTGTTGTTATATGTAAGCGGTCAGTGCGAGCGTCAGTGTGTTGGTTGTCATGTGGGAAGTGCGATGGCATTGAGCAGCATGTCGCCGCGAGGCCCGCTCGGGCTACTTCTGACGCTGTTAACGGCCGCCGCGCTCGCTAACCAGATCGAGGATATACCTCATAATGAGTAAGACAAAAAATTATATTCCTCATACAGTAACTCACATTCTTGTTTTCTATTTGAAACAATGTATTCAATTAAATATTTTGCTTTCAAATTATTTTTTATAGTTTGCTTGATTTTCCAGACTTATTACTAATTTGCAGAGTTTTGTATTAGATAGAAAATATATTTTCTTTAATGATTAGTAATCTAAATGCCGAATTGAAAAAAAAAAACAGAATGTACATAATGTGTTTTGTTAAAAAAATAACTTATAACATTATTTTATGTAATATTACTATTCAGAGTAAGTGTCGCAAATTTTGGGTAGTGTTAATTTTGTTTAAAAAGGACCGCAGAACTTGTGACTGCTTTTTAAGATGAGAGTAATTCAAATGCAGCAAAGATATGAGCGTAAATCACGATCGCCTCAAATAGCACCATCTATAATTATACTATATTAATAACATCTATCTCTTGCGCTGTACACGTTCAAACCGAAAGATGTCGTTTGGTGACTATAGTCACCATGGACAGGTGAAGCAATAATTTTTTTGGGGACTGTGGTTTCCGTGGATGGTTGAATAGCTAAGCATAGTATTAATTTTTTTCATCATGTTGACTTTGAACTCAACGAGAAATTTGGAAATAACTTACTTTATTACTACGTAACCAACCGTGTAGTTGCCATGATAGTTACCATGTTACTAAATAGATATATTTACATCGCTACTGCCCTACTGCGGTGTAAATATATCTTTATTTTCCAGTGGGTGTTGTAAGTGGCGACAGAGGTAAACAAAACAGGAGATGGTCGGCAGCTTCTAACTACTAACAACTAAAAAATTAAAAAAAAAACGCCTGCCTGCCAGGCTTGGCATCTGCGGTCAAATATGAGACAACCTATGGGGGAAGCCTATGTTCGGCAGGGGACTTTAATAGCCTGTAATGCATGAATGAATGATTTTTTAAGCTTTAGTATCCATAAAAGGCAAGGTTATATAACGACTACGATGGTTATATATGAACTACCTACCTATATGAAGTTATAGAAAAGGAAGATTCGGCAATTAGCTATGAATTGTTTTTAGTTCGCCTTTTTTGTTTGATTTATCTACTTCATTCTAAAAGTGACAAATAATTATGTGTACTAGCCTTGATCGTAGCAAGCGTGATTAAAAATAGTTTTCTCGTTTCTTTGAAAAGACGTCGCGTCGCCGGTATATATGCACACCTCTATACACATGCGTAAGGCGTAGTAATTAAAGAGCTACGTTTTTATTTATCTTGTTCAAGCTTAGATTGAACTTTTGGAACGAAGTTCCGTATCGGACGGTATGAATTTGGCGAATGGGGGCTAGGCGAGAAAAGGTGTAAGATTTTTTCCGTTACGACCCCTTCTGACGTAATGTAGACGGCCTTGGCGGCTATAAGGAAGCGAGATGTAATAATATCCATCTCCCTCGCACTTTTTCTTATCTTGCCATGAAAGAAACACTATTTTATATTAAATGACGCTTCATTTTAAAAGACGCTTGTAATTCATTTATTTGTATTTGTTTAATCAATAATATAATACGTTTATCAATAATAATATACTAAGAAAGGAACTTCATTCCAATTGAGTGTTCCACGACAATTACGCATGTTTTTTTTAAATGTATTTATCGACGTGACAACGTCTGATTAAAAAATAAACTAAGGTTTCGTCATTTTTAGCTCGTAATTGTTAATATGGCAAAAATTAATAATTTTTATGAATATGCTTCACGATTTGTTATAATGCGAATTGCGAAGTGGCCAAAAAAATATATTTGTCCCGATATTAGAAGAAAGGAAGACTGGAAAACGACGCTACAATTATTAATATTATGAAAGGCTAGAGTTCCCACCCTAGATAGAGGTAAAATGGAACAAATAGGTAAATTAGGTAAATACTTGAATTTTTAATTTGTTTTGTATTACCAAAGTGTGCTCGACTTAATATCCTGCATAGCATAGGCACCATTATTTAAAAACCTAACAAATCTAGATAATATATTTTTATTGCACTAGAGGCTTATTGTATCAGGAACCGAGAATTTGCGTTGTTAAGCGGCTTGTATTTCTCTGGACATTAAGATGCTTTCCTTGTTCGTTTTCGGTGAATAAAAGAAAATTTTAGAGCTTTAATGTCAAAAAATATCATTGAATACTTTTGATAAGATGCCATAGGTAAATAATAGTTCTAGATTGATGTCTTTATTGATTTTAACATAAAAGTGGCAAACACACATTTGTAAGACCACGCGCTGCATGCCCCGTCGAACGATTGCCAATGAAGCTTTAACCATAGTATTTAGGAGTAAAATGCATCTTGTTTGAAGTTGTTTGCCGATTTTCATTTTAGGAGGACTATTGGCTAGTTTGCATCATCCTCATTCATTAACCTCGCCTCATTTTACTTTTATAAAATTTGATTTATTTCTTTTTTTTTTCATAATTTGTTCCTTCTCCTTTTGTAATGCCACTATATCTCGATTCGGTTTTCCATTTACATATTTATTTTCATCTTTTTATTTTCTTCTTTATCTATCTTATAGTTTAAAGATTAATAGCTTAAATCGGAAAAAATAACAATTTGGATATTCCGCGCAATCTCGTCTCTTCTTCTATGGGAAATGGGTCTTTCCCTTTGTATGAGGAATTTGGCTTAATCGTCACCCTTTTAAGGGGATTGCCGACCGCAGCAAGGGGCCATTCATTAATTAGGTATGGGTCTCGAGGGCGAGGCGGGGTATAAAAAATTACATGCCCTTATCTTGGGGGGAAACCCATTCTTACGTAATATTTTGTAAGTCGAAAATTAATATTAGAAATCTAGTTCCATTACGGATGGCGAATTGTTTTCTTCATTCTATAACGTACACTTCGATTTATGAGTTTTACTTGAATTTTTTATTAAAATTATAAAATCTTAGATGTGTTTATTTTTATCCATTTTCTGCCGACTTCCTAAAAGGAGACGGTACTCAATTCGACTGTATGTTTTTTATGTGTGTTACCTCATAACTTTTTACTGGGTGAACCGATTTCGATGATTCTTTTTTTATTTGAAAGCTGATACTTCTCGTGTGGTCCCATATGAATTTGATCAAGGTCAAACCAATAGGTATTGAGTTATTCTTAATAAGTTATATTGAAGTTGGCTGTACAAAATTTTTAATTTTAAATTATAAATGCTATAAATTATAATAATAGTACGTTCTTCCCGCGTATTAATCTAATCTAGATAAAAATTATAGAATCTTACATAAGAAGAAGAAGGGGGGGGGGGTTCGAGAAATCTTATGTGCCTTTACAAAATTCACCATAATCATCCTTATGTAATTAATGAATGGCCTCTAACAGCACAGATTAGATAATAATTACGTCCGACGTCCCGCACGTTAGAGCTGCTGCCCGGCGCCGGTCTGGATTTTTTTTTTAGGATAAGAGTAACAAACGAGCACACATGGTCCGCCTGCTGGTTGGTGGTTGCTGTGGCCCATAAACATCTACATCTATTCTCGATTACAACTCAAAATGCAGATGCGTCGTCAACCGTGAGCACTAAGATAGAATGCTCGTTTCTAGTAAAAAGGGTCTCCGTGTTATTTTACACTGGTATTTTGTGAGAGTGTGGTCCTTCTCCGGTCGAGTACACCCATTCGTGCTACAAATATACTACTAATATATGTATAGCTGCAGCATGGCTCTACCACGTTAGAAATATTCTTATACGTTAGTGTACAACCATACGTTGTCATCTAATGGAAGTCATACGAAATTTACCCATGTGGTGACGACGTAAGATAATCTATTACCCAGTTCCATTTAGAAATGCCAGAAAGATATTTATACACTTGACTAGACTATATCTAGTTGAGTGTGTTAGTCAAGCGTAGTATAAATGGGGGATCTATATTCGCTAGAGGAATGTTAATTGAGCGATTGCTTTAAAAATACGTCAGTAGTCAAGTTATATGAAAATGAAATTAAAACAATATTAAAATTTGCATGTTTGAAAACGAAGTATATATCTAAACTTGTGTGTTTGCTAAAGATACTATCTGTTTTAGTGATATTTTATATAAGACATAAAATACATCAATATTTTCGGGTTATAAATTCTGGAGACAAGGTCAAGTGTTGTCTAGTCTCGCTTGATAGAGTTTTTATGCCGCAATAAAAAATTGTATACAAAGAATTATGTTGATGCAAATGCACTGCAATACATTAAATGATCTACGTATATTACGAAATGGGGCAACTATTTTCACTAAACAAGTAATAAATGAGTGATAATAATAATAAAAATAAATAAAAATACGTTTAGGCCAGCTAATTTATTTGAAAATAAAATTAAGACAATATTAAAATTTATTTATTTAAAAAACGAAGAATATTATATTAATAAACTTGTGTGTTTGCTAAATTTATTATTCTGTTTTTGTGATATTTTACGAGTACCATAAATCGGGTTATAAATTCTGAAGACAAGGTCAAGTGTTGTCTACACCCGCTTAATAGAAATTTTATACTGCAATAAAAATTGAATACAATAGTTGAATTATGTTGATGCAGCTCCTCTGCAATATTTAAAATGATCTGGGTATATACTAAAATTTTCGGCTTATAAATTAGTTGGTAGAGTAAGAAGGGTGCTAATATCAATTATGATCTTTTAAAAAAATGCGTTTTAACGTATTTTTTGAAAGTTTAGAGGATAGATGGATTATAAATTAAACGTTCGTAAAACATTCAACCTAAAAAACACACTGCTTGTCACAGATTTCTCCTCAGGACACGTTTTCCCAGCTCCAGCAGCGTTTTCTGTTCGTCTATAATGATGAATATTGGTATACTCTGCGCTGCGGCCACACGGTACATGGTAGCTGAAAATATAAGTAAGTTCGAAAATACCAAGAAAAGCTGAAATAGTTGCATCATTAGTACATTAGACAGACAATATAAGACTTGAAGAATTTTTCTCGTATTAAGTT